AATTTGTTTCAGTGCCATCCACAGACAACATCAGTCGCCATTCACCAGGCCAGTAAAAACAGAATAGGTAATAGCTTCAAACCCATGTAGTCAGAGTTACTAGGTCTGCACCTCAAAACAAAATCCAGGTGACATTCACCACGCCAGTAAAAAAACAGGTACAGTATATCTAAAAAGTATGTCCCCTGGTTTGGCTCTCCCACAGGAGGCGAATCGGTAACTTGGCTGAATCCCAGTTGCGGCACCCGGCCGCCAGGGTCGCTGCCGCGCGAGCGGCCTTGACCGCTCGCATGTCATTGGCAGTTCGGTCCCTCCCCATCTATACCGAGGTGGGGAGGGAAGAAGAGCGGAAGAGAGGGGAGGGAGCGGCTTTCGCTCGGCACTTGGCGATACCTGGCTGACCCCGCGCTCCCTCGCTGACCTTTGTCCTGCCCTCAGGCGAAGACCGACTTCCTGGCCTGTAGCGTCCCAGCGGAAAACCGAGCTCGCGGGGCGCGACTCCATTGGCCCAATCTTATAAATGGAATGCTGTCGTATTCACGGCATTAGATTATATTAATAGTGATACCAGCAGTGGATGTGGTAAAATACAGTCCAAAATAAACGAAAGCACACGATTCGTGCATAATGCGCCCTCCCATTCAAATAAGCCCGCCCACTTCGATAGATGGTGTAGTTTCTTAGGGCGTAAAAGATGCAAAACACTACCGATTTTTTTTTTTTTTAGCTCGGCCACTGGGACCGACAATATACAATTGACTGAAATGCATGAAAACCATTTTGCATTTAGGTAATAGCCGTTTTCTGCACCCAAACTTTAGCCAGTGACACCCTGTCCATTCTAAAGCGTTTATAAGATTGGTCCCAGCACCCGATTTTATATGAGGAAGTCGTTTAAAAAGCATCTTATTTCTAACGAATTTATTATTATGGCCACTTTTACAGGACGTCTATAGAGCTTTGACTTTCACATTTCTTCCTCGTTCAGGAGAAACGTTTTAACCCTCACCGGACCTTCAGGTTTTCTGAATACCGAGGGGACGTTGGGGGTTGGAAGTGAGGAAACAACCCCCTTCGCCGATTCGCCCCTAATTGAGCTAGAGCCTCGCGAAAGAAACGATCGTGTGCGTCGTTACGAAATGCAGCGATTGGTCTCCGATTTAAGGACCAGGGTCAGCCGATGACTTCGGAGGTCAGGTCAAGTGGCCCAAGGCACAGGTTCGGTTTTTGGTAAATAACTTCGCTAAAAATGATCGCAGATCCGCGATTTTAGCAGCATCGTGTTTGTCTAGCTCAGGCGTGTCGAATGGTATACTTTTTCTTCGGGTGAGATCAACTTAACCCTCGCCCGTATAGAGGGGGGGGGGGTCGAACGGACCCCCTCCCTCGGTTTTTCGCGAATAACTCGCGTAAAAAGCGGCCGATCGCGACGAAACTTTCAGTACCCTCGCGTTAATCAATTTTACACCCACCCTGAAATTGTCATGACCCTGACCTTAATGACCTTTGACCTGCGACCTACTTTTCGAGACCATGTTTGGCCGGAATCGCGATTCGGCGTATGTCGGCTAGCATTAGCGGCGCGTTTGCAGTCTTTTCGTGGTTTTAAGCGTTCAAACATGGGATATGATCTTGCTTCCATGCATTAGGGTGGGTGTCAAGGTCACCGGAAAGTCAGGTCAGGTCATTGACCTTTGATGACCTCGGTTCACTTTTTCGAGTTTTACATGTTTCTAGGCCAGTTTTAGGAGCTGAATTCGAATTTAGCAGCCATATGAACATTTACGAAGTAGTTTTGGTGCCCTCGTAACATGTTGCGAAGCTGTCAGAGGCGGTTGCCACCTACTACGAATACCCTTACTGGTTGACCTGACCTGACCTGACCCGACCTGGCCTAAATGCATGAAGACATCATCTGCGATCAAAACTAACATGATATTCGTGATCAGCACCCCGAAAACCCCATAGCAGCCACGCTTTACGACTTTCTAACAGGTCCCGATTTCCCCGACTTTTGGGTCATTGACCTGACATGGAAAGTCAACCGATGACCTAGAACCTTAAAATTGGGTATCATCGACTTCCTCTCGTCACGGCCAACACGCTCGTTTTTTCCGCGAAGCTCTAGCTCGATCAGGGGCGAAACGGCAAGGGGGGGGGTCCAACGGACCCTTATACGTTTGAGGCTGGAAAAAACACCAATACGGGCGAGAGTTAAGGTGTTAACCTCGGGTCAAGGTCAGGTCACAGCCCGTCAGGTCACGAAGCTGGTCAAAGGAGGTCATATTGCATATCAATCGATTCGGCAGGTCTTTTCATGTCCATTAGTGGCTTTATCGACTCGGTAGCTTTAGTTGATCGGGAGTTATTGACGAAAAACTGATAGCCTTAGTTACGTGATAAATGACGTCACGCAAGATCAACAAAGCAAAATTGAAGCATCAGACCTTGCAAGCAGCGCATGAAATCACGATTCCGTGTGCTTGAGAATTTGAGATAGTTGTATATCATTTCCGGTCCAAACTAGCAATTTCCATATTCCCCTGACTTTTAATGGTGAGAGACTGACCTGATCTCAGGCGACCCTTCAGAAAATCCTAGATATACATTTATACAAGTTGTGAGACCTCTCGATCATACTATAAGATCCTGTAAGTTTCATCTCCCTATGAAAGCTCTGCACTGAGGGTGTTGCGAAGTTGGAACATTTTAGCACAGTCCTAAAATGTTCATTTTAGGACAGTTTAGGAAGTTTCACACAGTTCATTTTAGGACTGCTCATTTATGACGTCATAGATCAGTGACCTGACTTGACTTAAAAATGCGGTTGGCGTAAAAAATCCGACTTATCAAATCCCGACTAAAAAAAATCGACTTATAATCCGGTTAATCAAATCCCGACCATGTTTTTACCTGGCCATTAATGTTCTAACCTTACAGGTTATTGTTTGAACGCGGAAGATGCTGAATCTTGGTTAACCCCATACTTATCGTATGATAAAGAACGTCAGTGTTAGAAAGTTAATTAACAATTTTATTTAGGATAGTTTAATTCAAGTGGGTATAATCCGACTTGACAATTTACTAGGAGGGTTTTGCAGCGCTATTAGTTCGGCATTTAATTATAAATCATTGCTAATTTCGATCCGGATATCGTTATTCAATGCTGGCCTTTGCGTCCTCAGAAAAGTTGTTTATAGTCACGAAGGCTTGCATTGACCCATACTTTCCATTTTTCAGCACCATTATTCGCCGTAGTTGACCAGATGTTTTTCTTCAGCTCTGCCCTGAATCCTTTGGCTTAGACCTGGCGTATCACCCGTGCATCGCAAGACGCACCTACCACACACAAGTTCATGATCCCCACGAACCCACATCAGCGTCCGTTCGCTTGGTGTGTGACCCCTTGACCTTTGGCCGCGACAACTGCCAGCTTGCCGGAGCACCCCTCCCTACACGCGCTGCCCCGTCCGCTCCCCTCCCTCCCCCCCCCCCCGGGGTCGTGTCACGAAGGTTCGGGCTTACGCTACTACCGGCCGCTGCGCAGCTGTCACCTAGCGCTTGGGAATGTGTGGTCTGGTGCGGATTCAGCCAACTACCGGCTCGCGACACCAGCGCCACGTAGTGGCGACGGTACATTCTTTTTAGACACACTGTACTTAGGTAACTAACAGCTTCAAATCTGGTAACATGTTGGTCGGACTTTACACTACCATATTTACATGGAATAATATGATACCAAACAATAGTGCAACCATTCTGGACAACAAAAGCGTATGATTAAATTAATTTAGAATACTTTGGCAGCATGATTTACGAGCACGGGCAGGTGTTACCTACCAGCCTTCTCAATGCTCATAAAACCAACATTGTAGTTTTGATTTTACCTTACATGATAACACACTTGGCTGCAATGGCACATTTAATTTAATACTGTGAAAAGACCAGTTATAACCACTTCACAAGCACAATTGCACCTCATGCCGACATTCTTTTCCAAAGACAGCGGCGTCTTTCGTCAAAACCAGAAGATCAATCCCCTTTCAACTGTTAACATCAAAAATATTTCTTCATGGTGTGATCTCCATATGGAAACCTTGCAGGAAAAGAATCAATGTCAATTGTCAGCTCTTCAAATTTCTTTGGACTTTAACTTGCACTACCATATCCAGTTTGCTTTGATATTTTGTTTTTTTTATTCCATGTTGAAGTTGAACACCAAGCTCCAGATATAGCAGGCAGCTTGATCATCTTCGGCCTTGGTATAATATCAGTCCAAGTTCCAGTGGTGGGTATCTTCTAATATTCAAATTAAAATGAAAATCAATAGGCCTTCTCAGCGCCGACGACGGACACGTTGATAAAAAAGGGAGCTCAAGGTCAGTAAAATTCGGGTTTAAGGAATGGCGGGCGTTGAAATGACTGCTGACGTCATCAAAGAAACCGCTAATGGTTAAGAGATAGGGACTAAGCTGGTCCCACCCTGCAAGTAAAGGGAAGAAATTTCTTGAACACCATAAAGCTGCGGGGGTTGCGACCAGGATAAATGGTGATTTCTGAGCCTGGCCGCAAACTTGGCTATCTCAACTCAAAACTAATGTTAAGGTGGGATGGTCCCTTTAACGTGAATCCATTCGTATTCTTCCTTGGCAATTTTACGCAAAAAAATTGATCTACAACGCCACATATAAATCGCTTTGAGTGTGAAGTACCTTATATTCATGATTGTAATCCAATTGCTCGTTCGAAGCAACACGGTTTCTTCAGCGTATACAATCATACCTCGGTCAGCTACCCAATCGATAATTTGCAGTTCGGCTTGGTGGCGCAATATAAATGGAAATTCATCAGTTCGAGATTTGCCAATAGATCATATCAAAACTACCAACGTATCAATTGGACTGGGCAATGAACACATCACTATTCGGCTCCATAATATGTGCCAAAGAAAGCATCAATACTAAAACACCAAAACAAATGTCAAAAATATCGAAACAGACTGTGCTTCAACGATGTATATTGTACAAAAATGAGGGCGCTGGCATCTCCCATCAACAAACACTCCGTACAGAGCAAGCTTCGGTCACTGGCGAGTGATGCATGCGATTGGTGATGATGGCAACAATGAGGAATGGGCACGTTGGTCGCCTGTCACGGCTCACAGCTCCCAGTATTCTGGCAGTCAGTCTCAGACGACAGTGGATGACCCCATATCTCCACAGGCTCGTGCGCTGCCGCGGCTGACAGTAGGAGCAGACGACCGGCGTAGGATGGCGGCTGGGAACCTCCCCCGCCTACGCCCGATTCGACGGCGGTCACAGAGGCCGCCAATGACCACCGACCGGCCAGAGCTCACATGATTTATCACTATCACTGTGTGAGACGGCCGGGTACCGACTCACACCGTCCGACCACGGCTTAACCGGTCCAGCAGGCCCCAGCACCAGACCACACTCCAATCCCGAGCAGTCCGCTGCACCTACTCCTCTGGATCGTCAAACTGACCCGTCTCCATGGGCTCGCCCGAGTCGCCCGCTCCTCCGCCGTTGCTCATGGGCCCGCTCTCGTCGTCATCGCCGTCACCCTCGGCATCACAGTCGCCACCGACGAAATAGTCGTCCTCTGTCGATCGGGGACTCCCATTAACGGTATAATCCCCCTTTGTGTAAGGTAAGTCACAAGAAGCGCGAGCGTGAATGGACATTGGAGAGAGATAACGGCGCCTATCTGCAGACAAAACAACAGCTAAGACGCGTTAAATTGTGGCAATTCCTTGTCCATAAGCCGTGGACAAAAGTGCTAAGTAAAAGCGGGGATGTCGAATACCGGGAATGCGTCTGGATGTTTCCCAAGGCTAAATCGTGTTATTACATATACACGAGGAAAATGTTCAGGAAGACTTTTAACTCAAGTCCTATCTCAGAATTTATCATTTTTTTAAATAAAAAGTACCTAAGTAAGGCACTGCCGAAACATTTGTTCAGTTCCACATCTTTGTCTGTTTTTGACATCGAGTGATAAGTTCGCACCAGCCGACACGGGCGAATGGGACAGGTAGTTTGCGCTTGAGTTTGACAAGCAATTTCACGTTAAAAAACAGCCCTGAATAAGGCTTACAAATTGTGCAGCTTGGCGTCAAAACTTCTGCGACCACCGCAGCTCCTAATAGCAATTCTGGCAGCATCAAATCTCATCAAGTTTCGCGAAAATTCCCAATAGTTCTAGTGCAAGCCCCATTTAGTCATCTTTACCAAACTTGAACTAAACAAACGCAAAGAACCATATGAAACACCAAAATCAGCCTTGAAATAAACATTTGCAGCTCGTCAACAATCGAAGGAAGCTATTTTAACTATAAAAAACTGTTTGACGATGAGCGTGACTAGACCATGGCGCGATAGTTGTCACAATTGAAGCTTTTAAAATGTGGAATATATTTGTCTAATTGACTTATCAATAGCTTATTATAAAAGCAAATAAAAGTAACAGAGCAATATCATGAAAATTGAAAGAAAAATTTAACGAAAGCCCACTAAGGAGATATTTCATTGACAATTGTGGTCACTTAACTCTAGCTTAGCAAATGAACATATTTAAGTATGCAATATGCATGCCTACATGTGAATTATGCTCATTCGTTCATTCATTCATTCATTCATTCATTCATTCATTCATTCATTCATTCATTCATTCATTCATTCATTCATTCATTCATTCATTCATTCATTCATTCATTCAGTGGCCGGCAGGCGGCACTCACCGTCTGCTGAGACGCTATCGTTGGGGTCCGGGTGCAGGGACTGACACTCTGACATGGCGTGAAACAGGGCGTCCAGAGAGCCGCCGTCCGACGGGACGAAGCGCACCTCTGTCACACTGCTTCCGGAGGCGGCGTCCTCGTCGCTGCTGCCGCCACTGCCATCTGACGCCGCGTCTGCCAAACACAGGTACACAGAGTGACCACCAGGGCACGCAACTGATGGCGATGAATGACGCACTTTATATCGTAAATCACATATCACTGAACTTTGCATTTTTTAGCTAGAAATCAAGTAGACCTCTCTTATAAATTATGCCAAAACATATTCAAGTGATCGGTGCCACAGCCCCACCATACCACCCGCCGCCTCTCTCTGACTGACCGTCGGCCTGGGGTCCGATCTTGGCGTCCACCATCAGGTAAAGGCAGGGGTGCGGGAACGCAGACGTGTCCCGCGACACAGCGTGCAGCATGATGTGCGGGTACTCCAGCGAGAAGCCCTGGCCGTCTGTGCCGGCCCAGGCCACGCGGCTCTCGGCGATGTACAGAGTGCCGCTGCCCAGGGCGCGCGGGCCCATGTGAGCGGCGGTGCTGGGCTGTTCGATACGCACACCCTCCGTGGGCGGCGGCAGGGAACTAGTCACCACCACCATCTGTAACAACGGCATAGGCATTTATCAGTTTTACAGTGGGTATTATAACTTGTTGAAGTAGAGTAAAATCAGCATCACAAAATACTTTACCCGTTACCGTTGGCTTTACCTATTACCTAATGCTTAGTAGGTAGGTATAGTTTTGCAAACTGGCAATCATACAGCAGGTGCCTTACATGCTGCCAACCATTTGTGAAGTCGCCAGCCTTTACAGTTCTTGAGATATTTACACAGAATTCACTGAGGGTTCCATATTGATAGGTTGTAGGTTGTTGGTTGGTAGATTGTAGATCAGTAGGAAAGGTTACATCAGATTAGATAACATTTTGTTTTGTAAGACATTTTGACTATAAATAGACTTTTGATGATCATATATGGGCATAAATGCAGCCCTCACTACTACGGAAGAAAAACGGTATAACGTGCCGGTACTTGCAGTATCGCGTCCACTTATCGGAAAGAAAAGGCTTCCATTTTCCACTACCAATTAACGCGATTCACTTAAATTCGGCGAATTCACTCGAAAAAGGCGATAGGAAAATGGCTTTTCTGCAGGTTCTGGGTGTCACAATCAGCTGGCCATTCCATAAATGGATTGGTGTTTTGAAAGAAAATTGTTTTGATTTAATTTTATATGAATGAATAAAGATATTTAATTTTAAAATAGAAATTTAACCGAAATTAAAAAAAAAACATAAACAAAATAATAGAAATAATGACATTTTCAAACAACGGTGCTGCTTACATTTCTTGGCGCGTCTTTTTAATCCACCATATTTGCCATTCACTGTTTGACCTTGTATTGTAACTCTGCGATTTAGAGCCGCCAGTGCATTGTGCACCGAGTGAGTGTAGGCCTTGTGTGGTTAAAAAACATTCTTATGACTTATTTTTTCATTTGAATCATGAATGCTAGGATGCATGGAAAAGATGAAGTTGTCTGATTTTATGACCATATATATGGTCATCGCCCCGCCCACTACAGCCGTTGATTGGCTGATCCAATTTTTGTTTGGCTCCTCGTAGTTTCCCCAACTGATCTTAAGAACTGAAGAGTCTAAATGACTTCACAAATGTGCGGCAGCATGCTATCGTGTATGAATACCCCCAAAACTACAAGAGTAGTTTTAGAACCTGAATTGCTTTATATGTGTTTTGCTCATCTCAATTGTGACATTTCAATTTGAATAACAAGAAATGTTCTGGGATATCCCTACTGCCTACTGGAGGCAATAATTTGTGTTTCCCCATCTGGGATCCGTGCACAATATCAATATGTCTAATTAGTATATATATGGTGTTCGGAAAAATAACATTATATATGTATAATATATATAAAAATCAAAAGGTGGTCCAGGTCGCAAGCCACTACCTAGCCTCAGCCCTCAGCCTGAAACGTTTGAGTTCAAGTTTGAGCAAGGTTCTCATCAATCTGCAGTCTATTAAGCCTACAGTTGATCAACATTTAACTTAAGCGCCTTACATGGAAGAAACATAAGGAAGGTACTTGCCTGGAATATATGTAAAGGGTTGTAAAACCAATTTATCAGAGATAACTTCTAAAATAAATCCCACTACCTACAATAAATAATAAGAAAACACGCGCTTGAGCAGCTCGCACACTGAACTCTAGTTGTTGTTGTTTTGGTGTAGGGCGCATAGCCTCTTGGGCTCAGAGCGTCCAGAAGTTGTCTTCACATCTTCTCTTCCTTCTTGTCATGGCCAGGGAATGGAACTAAGCGATCCATGGGACAAGGAAATGCGTTGCCAGGATTTGTCCAGTTAGGATTTATCAGTTTAGGTTGGTATTGCCGTAGTTAGATGTTAGTGATTGGTCAAACTACACTAACTAAAAATAAAAATAAAGTAAATTAAAGAGAAAGAAAAACAAACATCATACATTTCACAAGTTTAACATCAGCTCATACTCATAAGGCCTGCACTCAGCCATCACGCCAATCGTTCACATATGATCAACATATCCGCGTATATACCAAAAACGTATCAGAGTATATAGAGTAAACATATGTTCCTCTGTTATCCTGTAAGAGGAGCGCGCTGTGTTTCAGCTCGGCCTATCGCACACAGCAATGTGGTCTACACTGATTGTGCACGGTACTGATATAGTCTGAATATGTGTGTGTGCGACTGTCAGTACCGATATATTGTAGCGGTTTAGTGTACGCGAGTGCCGTGGCGGGTGGGGAGGGAGGGGGAAGCAAATCACCGAGTTAGTAGCAGCTATTTACCATTGTTATAAATCTCTACTCCTTCTACTCCACTCTCATGTTTTCCATTCACTGTCATTCATCATTCATTCATTCATTCATTCATCTCATTCTCATCCATATCATACTTTCACAGCATACATCACAGCTCATTATCACTCATACACAGCATAGTAGACAACAACAGAGACTTGCACTAAAATAAACAAAACGGTAAAGACTGTACATATCACAGCCACATAACATAAACATACAATAAACAATATAATCTTAAATTTTCTTAAACAGTTCACTATCGTGTAGAAACTTAAACAAAGCGTCAGTAATATCAGGGTATGAGTCACCAAGTAGAGTACCCAGCTCCATCGGCGCACCATGGTGCCGGCACAGTACACTGAGATGTCTTCTTTGGTCAGCGTAGTTCGGACATTCAATTAACATGTGTTGCACTGTCACGTACTGGCCGCAGGTACTACATTCTGGTCGCACATCACGGTCTATAATAAACGAGTGCGAGATTCTGGTGTGTCCAAGCCGCAGTCGACATAACACTATTTCCTCACGTCGGACATTCCGGCGACAAGACACCCAGTTCCCCGTAACATGCTTTATGCTCTTAAGGTTTGTCTGGCGAGTATCGTTTACCCACATGCTATTAAATTGATCAAAACATGCTGCACGGATAAAAGACACATATTCCTGCACAGACACTTCATACTCCTCCTCGGTCCTATCTAGTAAAACAGCCCGTTTTGCTTGAAGGTCTGCCTGTTCATTCCCGTAGATTCCACAGTGTCCAGGGACCCAAAGGATTACACACCGCAGATTGTGTTCCTTCAGACAATGCAAAGTATCCTTAATGTCGGTAACCATAGGGTGGTTACTTTCATTTGTTTGCAGGGCTAATAGCAGCGAGAGGGAGTCGGTACAAATGACGCTGTTTGCCAGTTGGTTATGTTGGACATAATGTACAGCTTGGAGCAAAGCAACACACTCAGCTGTAAAAATCGAGTAGTCACGTTTCAGTTTCGTTTTATACTGCATGTTTCCGTGCACGAAAGCACATCCCACGCCCCTTTCACTTTTCGAACCGTCAGTGTAAAGGAAATGATATCCAGGGTGTGTACCCTTAAACTCTTCAAAGGCCTGCAAAACATCACATCTCTCCAAATTAGCCTTCTGCTGTTCAATTAGTTTATGTGCGTCACACTGGTGTCGCTGCCATACAGGGTAAGCACTGGCTTTAAGCGTCACATCATTGGGAAGAACTATCCGAAGGTTTCGGGCGACATGTTGCAGACGTTCATAGAAGGGGAATCCAGATATTCGCTTAATATATCCCCACTCTAGGTCAGGTAGAGTAAAGGTCCCGTCAATGTAGTCTCGACATGGATGTTCATCGTATCCTGTCACTTTTAGGGCATATCTGACAGTCATCTCCCAACGTCGTAGGAAGAGTGGCGGTACATGTGACTCAACCTGCAGTGCCATTACCGGAGAAGTCCGCAATGCTCCTGTAGCTACCCTCGAACACGCGTTCTGTATGCTTTCAAGGGAGTGCACTGCATTGTTTGCTGGTCCATCAAGGACCTGACAGGCATATTCTAGGATGGGACGTATAAGGGATTTGTACATCCTCAACAGAATGGTTCTGTCGGCACCATATTCACGTCCGGATATGCATTTCAATATGGGAATGCGTTTCAATGCTCTGGCTCGAACGTACTGGATATGTTTGTTCAAGTTTAACTTGGAGTCCAGAAACACTCCAAGAAACTTTACATTGTCACAGTATGCAATTGGTTCGTCTTTAATCCGTAGTAGGGAAATGTGATCTAATTCAGTTCTTTTCATATATCGTCCAAATATCACTGCATTACATTTGGTAGGCGTGAAAGTAAATCCCCACGTATCTGCCCACTCCACCAAGGAATCAAGTGCGTTTTGCATGGTTGTTATTAGTTGTGGAAGATGCCTTCCTTGTAACCAAATTGCACAGTCATCTGCATACATAGCATAGGAGAACTCATCTGAAATACCTTCAAAAATATCATTTATCATCAGGTTAAAAAGTATCGGCGAAACAACTCCCCCTTGGACGACTCCATTCTCCTGTTCAAAAATCTGTGATAATCGACCACACTTCACCTGGAAGGTTCTTCCATTCAGGTAGTTTTCCACAAATTTCATCAGTCTTCCACGGAAGCCCAATGTATACATCTTTAGAAGGAGGGCAGGGGTAGACACTAAATTGTAAGCACTTTTAAAATCCAGAAATACTGCCAACGTATATTTGTGGTAGAGGAATCCATGTCGTATCTCTGATTCCAGTCTGATAATGTGGTCGACCGTACATCGTGCTTTCCTGAAGGCACACTGGTATTTCGATAGCACTCCTTTGTTTTCGGTATACCATTTGAGCCTTTCAGCTATCATTCTTTCCATGATTTTACCCATGCATGAGGTAAGTTGAATTGGTCTGTATGACTGAGGGTTGGAAGCCGGCTTCCCAGGTTTCAGGATAGGGACCACGTATGAATGTGACCAGTCTGTCGGAAAAATACCTTCCGTCCAGACTGCGTTAAACATCTTAAGAAGTTCTCCGTATTGAGTATTCCCCATATGTTTAAAAAAAGCGTAATGCAGTCTATCCGGTCCTATAGACGTATTTCCACATCGTTTTATGGCGTTTGTCAGTTCAGGTAAGGTGAATAAGTCATTGTAGCATTCAGCATTGTTAGAACGGAAATCAGGCATAGTTCTAATAATGTCATCAACTCGTGTACGAAAATGTTCTGAGTAGTTCTCCTGCGAGGAGATGCTTTCAAAGTATCGTCCAAGTGTATTCCCAACTTCAAAAGTATCATCGATAATACGTCCATCTATACTGAGTACGGGTAAAGGTCTGTTGTATCTCGTTTTCCTTGTGAATTTCCTCAGTATCTCCCACAACCTGGGTAAGGGGGTCTGGTAATTGAAGAGGCTAAGGAGTTTAAGCCAGGAGTCTTTCTTGGCCTGCCTAATAACCTGTCTGGCTTTGGCCTTTGCTCTTTTATATTCAAGTAATAGTCCTGGGACCTCTCTATTTCTCCTAAATCGGTTTAATAGCCTTTTCCGTTCTGTAATCGCTTTCTTGCACTCATCTGTCCACCAAGGACAGCAGTACTTTGCATGTCCAGTTTTCTTAGGTATTGTCTCTGTTGCTGCTGAGACAATAAGGTCTGTCATAACTTTGCAGTTTTCTACTCCCAGTTGATCATCATAGTTGAGTGTACACTTTTCTCTAAATTCATTCCAGTTTGCTTTATTTAAGTTCCATCCATAAAAAATGTCTGAGTCCTGTGAAGGGTCAACAACATTATTCAGTGTTATATAAATTGGGAAATGGTCACTGTCATGAGGATCATCTTCAGTCATCCACATTGCGTGGGGGGCGACTGATCCTGAAGATACTGTCAGATCGATATGGGAGTACAGCCCAGTGTAATCATCAATTCTAGTAGCACTACCATCATTGAGAACATTGAGTCCAAAAGTTCTGATCAAACGTTCCCATATCATTCCCCTTCGGTCACATCGATCCGAACCCCAAAGCATATGACGACTGTTGGCATCCGTACAGATAACCATGGGCTCCGGGAGCTGCTTAATCAGACTTTCCAACTCTTCATATTGTAAAGGTTCAGTGGGGGGTAGGTAAAGAGAACAGATGTGCATGGTTGAGCTGCCCATTCGTATGGAGCAGGCCACAGCTTGTAAGTTGGTGTTCACAGTTATCAGTCTGTGAGGAATCCTGTTAGTAACATATATACACACACCTCCCTGTCTCCTTTCATCATTGCCAAAAACATCATACCTTGTGTAATTCGGCAAGTTAAAATCATATTCATCTGATGGAAGGAAGTGAGTTTCCTGTAAACAGTAAACATCACATGTTTGGGTCATAAGGAAGGGTTTGACAGAAGCCCATTTTCCAATCAATGCTCTACAATTCCATTGCATTATTTTCACCATGGTGTAGTATGTGTTTGCCTCTAGAGTTTAGAGAAGTTTTTTTGTTTTTTGTTTTGTTTTTTTGTTTTTTGTTTTGTTTTTTTGTTTTGTTTTTTGTTTTTTGTTTTTTGTTTTGTTTTTTTTTGTTTTGTTTTTTTAAAGAAAAGAAAAACTAACTAGCTACTAGTGAATATACTATTCACTCCAATCAGTTGTCTGATGCCGCTTGTGAAATATCTACCCATGACTGCTTTCTTGTCATGGGTTTGTCCCCTGCTCTTTCATTGGATATGCCTGCTCTCACAAGCGGGGGAGCGGGGGGGATGGTATCTGGACAAGCAGATACCTGTGGTTTGGTTTTGCCTTTTCCTCGTCCTAAACCCTTTTGCCTTTGTACAGTCTGCCATTTGGCAGCATCTTTGGTCTTTTTCACTGTGTCTATTGTCTGTGTCAAGTCACATGTCTGAATCATTTCGTCTCCCTCATCTCTTTCCATGGGTTGCGTAATTTCATGAGTTTTCCTCGTATCATTCACCTCCCCTTCATCACTGTCTGTTGTAGCATCTCCCATTGTCTCATCACCTCTCGATCTCTGTAATACATCCCTCTGGGTTTCCTTTACACGTACTGTGTCTGTTGTACTAGCAGCACCTTTAGAGGTACTTTCTGTGATCTGCGACTCAGTCAGTTTTTTGAGCAATGTCGTCATCTCATCTACCTTCTTCTCTAGCTTTTCTACCTTTCCTTTCAACTCCTCATCCTCCTGCCTTCCAGTAATATGTGGAGTGCGCACAGTGGCAGCATAATTTCTGAGAACAGGGGGCTCATGGCGGTCATCATACAGTTTCCTGGCTTGGCTGAAAGATACCTCCTCTTCCACTTTGATCTTACATATTTCTTTCTCTTTCTGCCATGTTTCACAGTCATGAGATTGACACCCATGATCAGTGCGTCGGCAGTTGATGCACTGGGGCGTGCATTCTCCCTCATGAGGCATTTGTCCACAGTTTAGACATACCTTGTCTTTAGTGCATCGCTCCTGAGCATGCCCAAATTTGCCGCACCGGTAGCACAGCAGGGGGTTTGGTATATACGTGTGCACGTGGTATGTCACATAGTCCATTTGCAGTTTTGTTGGGCAGGATGGTCTGTCAAAGGTAAGTAGCAGGGTTGGGGTCCCTTGTGTTTGTCCATTCACTTTCCTGGTGAAGCGCTTTGCTCCAACAACCCCAAAGTCCTTTAGCCACTGGACCACCTCGTCCTCGCTAAGTTCTTCTAAGTCATATGCACGAATAGTGCCCCGTGATGTGTTCAGCCTTTCATCTTTCAATACTTCACAGTCCTCATTTGCAAATTTCCTAACTTTCAGAAACTTTTCAGTTTGGAGAGCATGTTTCGTTTTGACGAGCAAAGATCCATCAGTCAAAAAACTAGCCTTTTCCAACTTGTCAACATCCCCCAGGACACCTCTAACACCTAACTGCACCCATGGCCAGCCTCTGGATTTAAGTGTTTTCCCCGAGAGGAGTTTGATTTTGAGGTACGACCCGGAGTTTTCATTGTTTCCTTGATCGAAAAAAGATTCATCAGCCCTCACCCGTTTACCGGGCCTTCCCGGCTTCATTTTACATACCGTTGTGCACTGGGATTTTATAAATGATGAACGAATTGAAATTAAACAAAACTGAAACCAAAAACTTAAAGATCCAAGATGTCTTCCACCGCCACGTCACCACTAGAAAGTCAATCAGCTGTTCTTGCCACGTCCTCCCCGCAAGAAATCTGAAGCAAGAGAGACTGAACTCTATAATGAGCTCGCATGACCAGAGTTGTATTAGCTGCGCCGTTTTTGCTGTTCCAGGCTAGGCTACCATATCCGAATTTTCCTTCAATGACATTTTTGACTCCTATCTTCACCATTGAACACTCCAGCGGGCATAAAACGAAATGGGAGTATGACGAGTAGGACTACATTCAAATACCTGTAGGCTGTATGTGCTTCATCTTGATAAAATTTGCAATAAATTCAAAAGTGAAGTAAAATTTGCAATAAAATCCGTGAAGACGCAGCTGGGCCGTGGATGGATTCCCGTCTCACATCTCAGTTCTCTTTAGTCTTTATCTTCCCTTACAACGAAAATGACGAGCGATTGGCAAGTTTGTTCTACATACCTACCTACATATGAGCGTCAACCTGTAAGGCCGGGCAACACCTACCACCGTACAACATGCAGGCGATACAAAAAAAAAAAAATCATGCCATTGTTGTCTAGGCTTTGATCTGACCTCGTGAGTCGTGACAATTGATCTGAAAGTATAGGTAGGTACCTAAACTTAGGTCATGGATGCGAAATGTTGCATATGCTCATACATCTAGCTCATCCATGCTTACACTATCAGCACTATGATAGCTGTAGCAGCCTGTAGCACTAATTGACGCTTAGCTACGAGTCGACGCTATATTTCGTTAAAGGAATTAACACCTACATTGCATAGTTACAATAAAACATTAAACACTTTCCCCAGTGCTGCTTGAGCAAGCAGGTAGCCAGCTTAGGGAATATTCTACGGGCTAGTTTCCTGGCTAGCCATCTGGGCCAGGTTTCTCTCTTTCCGCCTATCGCCGTATTTGTCACTAAACACGCCTACCTACCTAGCATCTCAACAGTCTATGGTAGCTACCGCCCGTTTACATACGCTGTGCCCACCACCAATCGGCGATCGGGAAGGGAGGAATGCCCGTTCAGGACGTATCATAACGCTTGCGTCCAGTATCCTGCGTTCGAGCTTCTCTCGCCAGATGCCGACCTCCTGCAGACTGCCCAGTCAGGTCTATCAGCGTTGTGGCAGCGCTGCAGCACAGACGGGGTCGGAGAGGAAATCTGGCGACAGTGGACAGCCAGCGTTGGTCCCGGGTGCGTGCGACGCTGTGCAGACACGGAGACGGCCCACCGGTGCTCGCGCGGCTGACTGGAGACTGACTGCGGGGAGTGCTTCGATCGGACAGCTTCAGCCAGCGGCCAGTGTACTAAAACGGCCTCTGATGCGGCTTGAATACACCGAGTAAAATCTCCAGGACAGCAAGCACAGGTAAACGGCGCAACTGCAGGGGCGGATCCAGGAAAACTCCAAGGGGAGGGTCATGAATCGAAGTGGTGCCCCTACCTATACCCAAAATTAAAAACTCAACGGATTTCGTCCACTTCATTTTGGTGGTGCCCCCATTTTCAGTTTTTTTATTTTTATTTTTTATTTTTAGTCAGTATCTTACCTCTTAGCCACAACCACATTTACCAATTGTAAGCAAGTATATATGAATGTGCTATGTGTATATATGTTGTGGACGCTGAGTAATGAGTACTTACCAGGAACGTCATCAGGTAAGCAAATCGTTGTCAGTCCGACGAACTTGACCCTGGCGTCTAAAGGGTCTGTCCTTGACACTTCAGGCTTGTGGGCACCAAAGTCCTTCCAGGGACACCACAAACCTGTCAGGGGCACCTACGGCCTTGTAGGGGCGCCACAGGCCCGCCAGGGGCACCACAGGCCTGCCAGGAAGCAGGGGCACCACAGGTCTAGCAAGTATACACGACAGGCCTGCCAGGGGCACAACGGGCCTGTTGGGCCCATGAGCACCCCTAGGGGCAGGGGCACCACAGTCCTTCCAGGGGCACCGCAGGCCTGTGAGGGGCACCAGCGGCCTAGCAGGGGCACCAGTCAACACAGGCCTGCCAGGGGCACCACAGACCTGCCAGGGGCACCAGAGGCCTGCCAGGAGCACCACCGACCTCGCAGGGGTAACTTGGGCCTGTCAGGGCCCAGGGGCACCACGGGCCTGTCGAGAGGCACTTCAGGCTTTTCAGGGGCACCATAGTCCTCTCAGGGCGCAGGGGTAGCAGGGGCACCAGAGGCCGGCCAGGGGCACTACAGGCCTAGCAAGGGCACCACTGGTCTATCAGGGGCACCACGAGCCTGTCATAGCCAGGCATCTCAGGCTTGTCAAGGCCCAGCGGCACCACAGGTCTGTGAGGGGCACCAGCGACCTAGCAGGGGCACCAGTCAACACAGGTCTGCCAGGGGCGCCACAGACCTGCCAGGGGCACCACAGACCTGCCAGGGGCACCAGAGGCCTGCCAGGGGCACCACCGGCCTCGCAGGGGCACCTTGGGCCTGTCAGGGGCACCACGGGCCTGCCGAGGGGCACTTCAGACTTTTCAGGGGCACCAGTCCTCTCCGGGCGCAGGGGCACCAGAGGCCTGCCAGGGGCACCAGCGGCCTAGCAAGGGCACCAGAGGCCTGCCAGGGGCACCAGCGGCCTAGCAAGGGCACCAGAGGCCTGCCAGGGGCACCACAGGCCTAACAAGGGCACCACGGGCCTGTCAGGGGCACCTCAGGCTTGTCAGGGCCCAGGGACACCACAGTCCTTCCAAGGGCACCGCAAGCCTGTCAGGGGCACCAGAGGCCTGCCAGGGGCACCAGAGGCCTAGCAAGGGCACCTCTGGCCTGTCAGGGGCACCTCAGGCTTGTCAGGGCCCAGGGGCACCACAGTCCTTCCAGGGGCATTACAAGCCTGTCAGGGGCACCAGAGGCCTAGCAAGGGCACCACAGGCCTGCCATGGACACCACAGGCCTGCCAGGGGCACCACAGGCCTGCCAGGGGCACCACCGGCCTTGCAGGGGCGCCTCAGGCCTGTCAGGGGCACCACGTGCCTGCCGGGGACACTTCAGGCTTGTCAGGGGCGTTACAGTCCTGTCAGGGCCCAGGGGCACCAGGCCCGTGGTGTCCCTGCTAGGCCTGTGGTGCCCCTGGCGGTCCTGTGGTGCCCCTGTCAGGACTGTGATACCCCTGATAGGCCGGTGGTGCCCCTGGAAGGTCTTTGGGCCCCCGGGCCTCAAGGGGGGGCCATGACCCATGTGACCCCCCCCCCCCCCCCCTTGGATCCGCCCCTGCGCAACTGAGCTTGTGCATGTAAACAAATGCCGATTTGTGACCTTTCTGGCCTTTCAATTTGGTGCTTTCGGCTTTCCAATATGCACTTCCAATAATTATACATAATTATTGGCGGATCCGAGAACATTGTACACTGTACACTGCGGGTAATAGCGCGTCTAAAAAAAGTTCACTAATTTACAAAGGGTAACTTGACTTTGTATTTCCTTTGCTTTGTTCGCTGTTGTTTTGGATCAAACAAACAGTTTTAACTACAGCTATTCAATTTTCTTTCCATACCAGAAAAATAAAAAATCGTCGAGTTCGGACGAGACCATCCACCTCAACACCAATACAAATATTGTATCGAGAGTACATGAACCTCCAGGCTCCACGAATCAAACTATTAAAACAGTTACATTTAAAGGGACCCTCCCACCTTCAAAAAAGTTAATGAATTGGCACGAAAATGATGTCGCTCGGTTCAGAAAGAGCGAAAACGAATATCTACCAAATTTCATCGAAAAATATTCACCGGTTTTCAAGATATTAGACTTTTACTTTTGTTTACTTTTTGGGATCTCCGCTGTTCCTAGCGACTTTATTTGAAAGTGCGGCATTTGTTGCGCGCAAAGCAGCATATACCACCGCGTGCTACCAAACGTTTTAGTAAAAGATTTAAAAATCGTTAGATCTCCGCTGACGTCACAAATTCTAAGGGGGCATACCAATGCACTAGCCCCTTAGAATCCGAAAACTGCAAGTTTGAAATTCCATATCTCCGAATTAAAGCATTTGTCGATGTTGTGAGTGCCCAAACCGGTATTTTCAGGCCATGGCCACCAATTTGGCAATCTCAACTCAAAACTAATGTTGAGGTGGGAGTGTCCCTTTAAGGCGTACCGGTTTCGTCTATTGACTTCTTCAGCGCCGTATGAAACCATACGGCGCTGAAGAAGTCAATAGACGAAACCGGTACGCCTTAAATGTAACTGTTTTAATAGTTTGATTCGTGGAGCCTGGAGGTTCATGTACTCTCGATACAATACTTGTCCATTCATAACCAATACAAATGTTCATAAATGTTCAATTATTATCAAAGCCCATTGAACGTTCATTGATATTTCTACAACACATGTTTTAAACGGTTAAATTACCTTACCAAACAATGCGCTTTTACTTTCCTTTAGATACTGAAAATATGTTGCAAGAAATTTCCCCGAAACAAATGAATTATTGAATGTTTTGAGGAACAAACTGTTTTCCTAGCCTACACAGTCTAAACGCAAATTACTTACCTTTTCTACAACAGCAACGTGTCTGACCGTATGCGCCTATCCACTTAGAGGAAGTTTCCCATCGCTCGGCCGAGACCTTTCCTCGAGATGTAATCTTGTAGGCTTGCACTGCAGTCAGCTGTCACTTGTCAGCATCCAGCACAATTGGATGTCTGCTTCTATACCTAGTATTTGGGTTAGGTTGGTAAAGTAAAGTGGACATTGATCACAAAATGTATTGAAATTTGAAACTGTGGGTGGCGGTGCTGAACACATCCCAAGCCTGGCTACGCCAGTCGCCAGTTATGTTTTGCACTTTAAATGATAGGCATCGATCACTTTTCGATCTACGAGAACTAAGCAAAGGGTTAGAATTATGCTTTCAGCTTCTAAAACAGCTATACCTAGCTACCTATGCTAGTGGAAAAACGAACGAAAAACGGAACGAAACGAAAGCGAAAGAGAAAAACGTCCTAACTAAACTAAGATGTTTGCCGACCACCGCAAAGCGGTAGGTAGGTATGGCTGCAGTCTCCGGTAGGCATATACCTACGTAATGCACAAATGACGCCCTATTCCCGATTGTTCCAGTTAAAGGTAGTGTGCCAGCTTTCCTGGACCGTATGGAGTTAATGGCCCAGATAAGGAGAACCGGATTTTTAGAACTTATCCATACATTCAAAACTCATGGAAACGTCTTAAATTCTTCAAATTTTGAGTACCCCAGTGCGAAATTCGCCCCGACGGGTTGTCGGTCGTACCCCAACCACATTTCACAACACTATGAACAATAAATGCACACACTGAAATCGCTATTACCGATATACTCATCCAATCAAGTTTCGATAAACCCGTTCATCATCATCTCCTGCGGTTTCGAACACGCCTGTTAGGTGGTGCGGCAGACCGCGCCCAAAGCCAGGGCCCCGGTAACGTGAGGTAGCCGAGTCGGGGCAGCGTGCGCTGACCCAAGCCGGGGCCGCGCGTCCTCCCGGTGTCATGTGATAGCCCGGGGCTGCCCGCGGGGATGCGGTAGACCGCGCCCAAAGCTGCGGCCCCGGCTTGGGTCAGCGCACGCTGCCCCGACTCGGCTACCTCACGTTACCGGGGCCCTGGCTTTGGGCGCGGCTTCTGCTCATACTTTGTGGTGCGGTGGTGGTGCGTCGGGCCGCGCGCTCTGACTTCGGCCAAGAAAAATGCGTCAGCTGATCATTGTCATTTCTGCCACTTGCGTGTGGTGAAATGGGGTCATAACTTAAGAGACGGCTTTGTCATATCAATTATTTTACATAAAATCATATTTCAAACCATGAATAATGTTCGACAGCCAAATAAAAGAAACAATACCAATACAGGCTTACAGTTTAAGACTCGACATTGTGTTGTCTACGATTAGACAGCTGATAACTCATTCCCGTACGTCGTAACTCTATAATGACCTTTGCTTATTGTCACATGTGCGCCGCATTCGCGATTGTTGCCGACGCCTGTTTGCAGCTCAGCCCACTACAGTTGTTATACATATCGAAAAACCGATAAACTTTTAGGCGAAAAAGGCACTATTCCAGGCCCATTTTTGATTTTCTTTGCGATATTAGGTAAAAACAGAAGCTTCTTATCCTAGGAAAAATAAAATGGGAAATCTTTCAAAGGTGGCACACTACCTTTAAGTGGAGACTCATGTCCCTGAGGAAGTTCTCCTGTGTGTTACAGGCTGGTTCCTCTGAGACGAGCTCCCTCTGGGCGCTCGGCCGGCGTCCAGGATGGGTCTGAAGACGTGCTGCTGCTGCATCCCGCTGCGGACGGGCGCCCTGTGCGTGGCCGTGCTGTACCTGGTGGTGAACATCTGCACCGTGGTCGGGTGGTCCGTCTTCACCATCCTGTCGCTGCTCTTCACCACGCCGGCCGACTACCTCGACCACCCGCAGTACTACAAGAGGAAGAACATGATCTGGCTGTTCGTGCTGCTCGGTCTGCTCGTCATCTGCTCGCTCAACATCACAATGGACAGCCTCCTCGTGCACGGCATCCGCAAGGGCAAGCGCAAGTTCATGCTGCCCTGGGTGGTGTGGTACTGCATCTTCACGGTGCTGGCCACGCTCGCCTGGCTCGGCCTGGTCGTCTGGCTGGTGATGCTGGTGCTGAACGAGGACGGCGAGTTCCTCAAGCTGCTCATCTTCTTCCTGAGCGTCAGCGTGGCCGTCGGCCTGGTGGTGTTCGTCGTCATGTGGTTCTGGTACGCCTGCGTCGTGTCCTACTACAGTGCCATCGCCAACAGCGACCACTACGCCATGGAGCCACCCGTGGTGGTCTCCGCGCGCAGGAAGCGAGAGACGGTGCCGTTCTCGATCTGAACAGATCCGTGTCGACGGAGGATCAATAAGTGCGGATGCACCAAACCATCTTATAGAAATCTAGCCAGGGTGATAAACTGGAGCCATGCATGTCGATAAACCACACGGCTTTGATGTGATCACTTTTTCATTTTTGGTAGTTTCAACATCCCATGAGAAGACGTGATCGCCTACAATATTCTTCAAGATAATCGCCTATAAGACCCAGCTAGCCACAAGCCATTCTGAGTGGACAAACCATGTGGAGACTGCGCAGAATATGCGGGCAAACCAGGCGCGGATACAAGGGGGGGGGGGCCATGGGGGCCATGGCCCCCCCCCTTGGCCGATTTTTTTTTTCAAAAATAAAATAAAAAGTTAAACAGTTAAAAAGCTGAAAAGGGGGCCTCCTGAAAATAAAGTGGCCGAAATCCGATGAGTTTTTTTTTTTAACCTACCCACTTAGTTATTTCTTAGAAGACTAGCTGAGAAGACTTCTTTGTTAGAAGATTGGTAAAGCTTTTCATAACTTGGAGGTCTCTTATACTCACAGAGATGACCACTTTTACAGGGCCTCCTAACCTGCACAGAGGGCCTCCAAGCCTGCACAGATGTTGAGATGTTGCCTGAACAGCTAGATAAGCTCAATAGACGCAGTTTTTTTTTTGGGGGGGGGGGGCCAACAAGTGGGAAGATGGGGCCTCCAACAGGTGGGATTATGGGGGGGGGGGCCTCCTGGTTTCTAATGGCCCCTCCCTTGGAGATTTTCTGGATCCGCCCCTGGGGCAAACCTTGCAGACCGTGCGAACCGTGTGACAGTTCGAGGAAACAATGACTTGTCCACATAGACCAGGGAGTGCAGGAGTGCTATGCTATCTAAGCCGGTGAAGCTGCAGGGCCTATTTTAACATGTTAACTGGGGGGGGCAAATGCCCCCGCACTCAACAGAATTGCCCCCCCAGTTGTCGAGATTTGCCCACTTTAAAAATGAGCATAAAGGAACAGGGTAACAAACATACTACTGTGACTTGTTTTGCAATGGATGTCAAATGAGTCAGTCTGCAAGTAATGACCAGTGGTGAATCCAAGGGTGGGTCATATGGGTCATGACCCCCCCCCCCCCCCCGCCCCCTTGGGTCCCGGGGACACCACAGGCCTACCAGGGGCACCACCGGCTTGTCAGGGGCACCACAAGCCTGTTGGGAGCAGTGCTGGAAATGAGGCCACTTTCTGGTCCTGGCCTTTTATTCTCCGGGTGGGTGCCCCGTCTAGCGCTTAGCCTTTCGGGACCCGCTCAGAGCCGCGGTTGTTTTCGCCGCTCGGCCCTTTCGAGATGCAAAGTTGATAGTCACACGAAGTTTATTTGGGGCCTCTGAAAATGCGAATTCGAAATTAATCGACTTTATAAAACATTTCTTCTTTCATCTACATGCATACATTTAACAGTATCTCCAGACTAAGCTGGTTTGGCTGGCCCTAAATAAGCTTCGTGTGACTATTAACTTTGCATCTCGACTAGGGCGAGCGGCGAAAACAACCGCGACCCTGAGTGGGTCCCCAAAGGCTAAACGCTGGACGGGGGTAATCCACCCGGAGAATAAAACGCCGGTACCAGAAAGCGGCCTCATTTCCAGCACTGGTTGGGAGCACCATCGGCCTAGCAAGAGCACCATAGGTCTGCGCCAGGGGCACCACAGACCTGCCAGGGGCCCCATCGACCTCACAGGGGCACTTTGGGCCTGTCAGGGGCACCACGGGCCTGTCGGGGCACCACAAGTTTTTTAGGGGTACCACAGGCCTGCAGGAGCACCATCGGCCTAGCAAGAGCACCATAGGTCTGCCAGGGGCACCACAGACCTGCCAGGGGCCCTACCGGCCTCGCAGGAGCACCACATTGGGCCTGTCAGGGGTACCACCACAGACCCGCCAGGGGCACCACAGGCCTGCCAGAAGCACCACAGGCCTAGCAAGGGCACCACGGACCTGTCAGCGACACCACGGGCCTGTCGGGGGCACCTCAGGCTTGTTAGGGCCAAGGGACACCATCAGTCCTTTCAGGGGCACCTCAGGCCTGTCAGGGGCACCAGAGGCCTAGCAGGGACACCACATGCCTGACAGGGGCACCTGCGGCCTCGCAGGGACACCTTGGACCTGTTAGTGGCACCACATGCATGCCGGGGACACTCCAGGCTTGTCAGGAGAACTATAGTCCTGTCAGGGCCCAGGGGCACCAGCGGCCTAGCAGAGGCACCATCGGCCTAGCAGGGACACCACCGGCCTCGCAAGGGCATCATGGGCCTGTCAGGGGCACCATGGGCCTGTCAGGGGCACCATGGGCCTGTCGTTAGAACCTCAGGCTTGTCAGGGGCACCACAGTTCTTTCAGATGCACTGGCGGCCTAGCACCATGGCACCATGTTTGGCCGGGATCGCGATTCGGCGTATGTCGCCTCGCATTAGCCGCGCGTTTGCAGTCTTTTCGTGGTTTCAAACGTTCAAACATGGGATATGATGTTGCTCCCATGCATTAGGGTGGGTGTCAAGGTCACCGGAAGGTCAGGTCAGGTCATTTACCTTTGATGACCTCGGTTCACATTTTCGAGTATTATACGTTTCTAGGCTAGTTTTTTAGCTGAATTCGAATTTAGCAACCATTTGACCGTTTACGAAGTAGTTTTGGTGCCTTCGTAACATGTTACGAAACTGTCAGAGGCGGTTGCCACCTACTACGAATACCCGGCAAAACGCTTACTGGTTGACCTGACCTGAGCCTGACCTGACCCGACCTGGCCTGAATGCATGAAGACATCATCTATGATAATAACTAAGTACTAACATGATATTCGTGATCAGCTCCCCGAAAAAAAAAAACATAGCACCCACCCTTTACGACGCTCTAACAGGTTACGATTTTCCCGACGTTTGGGTCATTGACCTGACCTGGAAGGTCAACCGATGACCTAGGACCTTAAAATTGGGTATCATCGGCTTACTGTCATCACGGGCAGCACGGTCGTTTTTTTTTCCGTGAAGCTCTGGCTCGATCAGGGGCGAAACGGCAAGGGGGAGGGTCCAACGGACCCCCCATACCTATACGTTCGCAGCTGGAAAACACCAATACGGGCGAGGGTTAATGGATTATTAAAGACAATTTTCCAGGTTGCCCCCCCAGTCAAATTCCCTTAAAATAGGCTCTGTGAAGCTGTGCACGACGGTAAGGTCATATCATTCAATGGAAGTCCGACCATGGTGCGATTTTGGAGTGGCTGTCCAACGTTGTTGTTCTAGGTCACCGTGCTCGTGGTTTATTATCACTTGGTTTATTGTGTTGCAGATATTTAAGCCAAGCACGTACCCAGGATTTCGCCCAGGAGGGGGCCACCTGCTTTCGAAGGGGCCCCCCACAGTGTATAGGGCCCCCCAGGTTCCCCGGGGGCCCCCGGGAGTCATGCAGAACCTTTCGATGGTGGGGGGGGGGGGCATAGTGGGTCCGGTCTCTCCTGCAGACGTAGGTGAGAAAACGCCACGTGTGTGGGAAAACGCAATTCAGTTCTTTACAACCTAATGTAGCATTTGGTTGTGATTTCTCGCGTTCAACTTCATCAAAGTCAATTAAAACGGTCTCTGTAACGGTCTAAGCCTTGAGAAAATGTGGAAAATTGGAAAGTAAAAATATTTTTGCTTGAGGAGTGTGCATGAAACGCACAGCATTTTATGAGCGAGCGCCTCAATTACTGAACATCCTCCAATTCCGGATATGTAGGTATATAATATAATAGTGGGGAATAAATGTCTCATCGGAATTCCACTATCTGGCAACTAGCCCTATGTAAACGCGGCTATTATATGTTTCACTAGGAATCGAGCGCAATTGTACTTTTAGCCAGAAAATAAATGTTTGTGTAATTCTGGGACACTGTATTAATTGGAGGAATAGGACTTAGGAGGAAATGCGATTGCAAATCGACCCACATCCCTGTATTAGCCAATGACGCCTTTGAGGCCAAGGTTGGGGGGTATTCAGTTTAGCCTTTTTGTTTTTCTGTGATATCTCCGGCACCGTGAAAGATATTGGCTCCTTCAGATGAGTGCCTACTCCAGTCACTACTTATATCCAGTAGCCAGTAGCCACTCAGATGATTTGGGATCAATCAGGTGATATGCGTACTTTCAGACGACCAGGGGCCCCCAGTCGACCAGGGGTTCCCAGGCGACCAGGTCCTCCAGAAGTATCGTGTCAGACATTGTGATATTTATTCACTTTCGATGATAACACAAAAACAAATATTCTAAATAGCCAGACGTTTCGGCCTCAGGGTGCCTTCGTCAGTGACAATACCGAGATACTAATACATTAATAAATTAATCAATATAATCTTTTACACTTTCAAAATACACATGACCGGGACATTTTTCAACCATTCTGCTGTCGGACGGCTGATTAGACCGCCCTCGGAGACGTGTCCCGCGCAGCTCTCAGCAAAGACGGCGGCCGAGAAGTGAGTGGTGTATTTACAGAAACATAGGTTTTTATGGGGTGTCGGGACGCCGTCACGTGACCGGGTGGCCGACGGCCAAGAGCCGACGGTCCCGTGTTGCTGGGCGCCCCAGACACCCAGACGGAAGACAGAAGTGAGCCAGACGGAGAAAAAGAGAGTCTAGACAAGATAGGGAATTGGGGCCTCCATCGGGGAGTGGGAGGCCATGATTTCCTTCTCCACATATCTTTCCTCCCCCAACAAGCCGACAAGAGGAGGCGACCAATAAGCAATCACGGTCCTAAACTGCATTGATCCACGTATGACACCGCGCACGGGACGCCAAGTACAACTGCTGCGGCTGCTGCTGCTGCTGCTGCTGCTGCTGCTGCTGCTGCTGCTGCTGCTGCTGCTGCTGCTGCTGCGGCTGCTGCTGCTGCTGCTGCTGCTGCTGCTGCTGCTACTGCGGCTGCTGCTACTGCTGCTGCTGCTGCTTGGTTGTCTCGCCATTATCGTCGTTGTTGTCATCGTCGCCGTGGTGGTCAGCCGTTGTCGGTGTGAGGCGCCAGACACTGCTGCGGGAAGCTGATGACATCCGCATTGATAGTGAGGGGCAGCGGCCATGGAGTGCCGTGACGGTTGGGCGCCGTAACCGTCAACGTGGCGTTGGCTGCCGCCGCACAGCACGGATGCCGGAAGTCGTCAGCTTGTCGAGATTGGTAAACCGCCAGCGAGGGAGTTGGTGCCTTCGTTGTGGACTGACAACGGGTTGGCGACGGTGGGTGCCCAGCCATGGTTATGAGCGGCTG